CAACATCCAGAAGAAAGCATACAGCAACTTGTAAATTCTGTGATTGCTTTCCTTTCTGAGACCATGGGGACTATGTCAATATTTTATCATCACTTAGAAAGGAAGCACAAGAAAGTTRAGCTATGTGTAAGTGATGTTAGCAAAGCTAGCTAGCTAACGTCAGCAATCTCCCTCTGTATTTGGTCTTGATTTTGTCTTGGGTTATGTGACTACAGCAGTACTATCTACACCAAGCACCATATTATCTGTTTGTAACTTATCCACAGAAATCCACTTGAAATTTTACATTGAACTGGTCCACAGAAGTATGCACGCACATTCGATATGGTAGAATTATCYAGGAAACAAGTTTAAATTAGATGACTAGAACATAGTGTGGTTTGTGTTTGTTAACATTTTACACCTTCTGTAAGAAGTAATAACAGTATGATAATACAATATATTTGGTATATTTTGCTGGAGTTACAGATTCAGCTCCTAAAATTATTTGCAAATTACCTATGAGAACATTTATATTACGTATGCAAGTAAAACCAGACTATCAGAGAGAGATAAAGTCATGTTTTTAACTAATTACGAMTCCTACCAGACCAAAGCATTTATGTCCAAACTTGGATTTGCCATCATAAATACAATGTACTTGTTTAGAAAATCCAAATCAGAGTTCAGGCAGTAAGAGCATGAAAATGTTTGAGAGGCTGTTTGTGAAGTYGCCAGGCCAACTTTGTAAAAGTCAACACTGCAGGGCCCGAGGGGTCTCCAGWGAGGGCAGCGAGGGTCTGCGTATGATCGTGCACGTTGTTGTGAGTATGGCTTGTTTTGAGGCCCAGCCTGGATGAGTGAATTTACGGCTCTGTATGCATGGATACCCTCCAAACCCTGATGCAACCCCTTCTGCCACTCCCCRTTCTCTGCCTCTTTCATCCCCTCAATCCATCCCTCCTCCTCCAAATGGACACTACGGATGCTTGAGTAGGAATCTGYGCCGTGGGAGGGAGGAATGAGGCCGAATGCACTGGCCTGTGAGTGGACATGTGGTAACAGGGAGTGCATACAGGCCTCTGAATGTGTGTTTGTGCTCCTCCTTGGAGATGCTTTATCCTCCGCCCTACTTCACAGTGAMTCCGAATGAGAAACTCTTTCATCCTCTTTTCTCAGACCGTATGACTGTTTAATCAGCTCTTTCTGTGTAAATGTGTCTGTTACTTTAATACAAAAGAACGGCGGTGCAATAGGCAATCTTTGTGACATCTAAAAAATGTTATTATCAGAATATCTACAAAGATGCTTTGATTCAGCACCCTTCACGCCTGTCAGAGACAGAGACTTCCAGTGTGTGGGGGTGACACTAACAAGCAAAAAGCCAAAGGTATTTGGGCGTTAGAGAAATTTTATAAGGAAGTAAATGGTAAATGGACTGTACTTGTATAGCGCCTCTCTACCCAACCAGGACACTCAAAGCTCTTCACACTACGATCTGTGTCCTCATTTACGCATTCACACAGCACTCTACCAGATCTTCTACACAGCTAACATGTACAACCATCTATGGAGCCAATCACATTCATACACTGATGGGACACACACAGAGGCATTGGGGTGAAGTGTTGTGCCCAAGGACACAACAGAGACAGCTGGACGGGGGATCGAACCAGTGAGCCTTCTGGTTACAGGACGACTCCCCTAACCACTGTGCCACAGCCGCCTAAGTAAACTGCTTAGTTCAGCAGTCGCCTCCATTTTATGTGASAGGGAAGAAGCTGCTGTGTGAGTGTAGCACTGCGCCTCTGTCATTGTTTGTGTAACAACAGTACCAAAGACTAGGACTGTCATGATAACAAATTTGACTAGATGATAAATTGTCTCAGAAATGATTGCTTTAAATAATAATATTGTTTGGAGACCATTTTAAACTAATTTAACATCCCTCCCGCACTTACAAAGTTGACAGATGTTTATGAAAGTTACGTACATATATAAATAAATAAATAAAATTATGAACTGACCTGAACTGGAGATTAGGAAAACAAACAACACTCACAACAGCTGCTGGAGCTGTAAAATCACTTGCCACCTCCTCTATCCCAGCAGGCACAAYTTAGTCTGTACGTGTCTTCCTCTGGCTTCATAAAATAATTGCGACCCCCTCAACGCTCTTTACAAAGTTTACAAAATGTATGTGAATGAAAAAAAAATGTAAAAAACTCGGTGAATCCAAGGTTCAGCATGGTGCCCTGAGATATCGCCAGCTGAAAGACGGCATCGGAGAACCRAAGACCCTTCCTGTACTTAAAAGCCTGTTCACGAGGCTCTCATGCTACAGAGGTTACGAGAAAAGTCACCTGGCAAATACCTGTCACAAGAGTTCACTCTTCCCTACGCTTTGGAGCAGAAAAAAAAGCAGGCAAATTAATTTATCATGCGATTAATTGATTTATTGCTTAWCCCAACCGGCCTATCAAAAATTAAAAAAATATTACAATATTGTGACTTAGAGTTTGAAATTAGTTTGGGTTAAGTGGATAACTTTACYTCATCTTGAGTTAATGCTGCCTGTTTTAATCAAATAAAACAATGTCCAACAATGGAGACCTTTTTGGAGGACACTTCCCCTCCAATGTTAAAAAAAATGGGTGACGTGGACAGTATTCCCTTAAATATCTAACCAGCTGCTTACAATGTATTGAAGCTAGACAAACTTACTCTTTGATATGCTTCCTGCAAGGCACAGAGTTCCTCATGCAGGTACCAGTGAGCCGCTCAACATCTTCCACAATGACAAACGGTTTCTCTTCTAAGGTGACGATGGACAGGTGGTTGTCATCAAGCTCAGCATCACCAAAGGAGTTGAAACGTGGCCATACTGGATACTTCACAGAGAGGCTGCCGTTATCCAGTCTCCCCATCTGTTGAAAATGAGATGAGAGTGTGTCAGTGTCTATTTCTTATTTAAAAAGATCCTTTATTTATGGAATTTRAAAGAAACAGCAAAATGATTGCTAAATCTCCCACTGTACCCAACCTATTTTCCTCAAAGCCCCTCTTTCTTACTTCCAAGCCAAGCTGAACCCCCCACCCACAATCCCTTGCTACGCCTCATCTTTCCCAAAGACTTCAACTTTTATCTCTTTATCAAAAATCATAAAAGCATTAAATGAATAGTTACAAACTTTTATTTGGAAAAAGGAAAAAAGAAGAACCAGACTTGTTTGGGTGACCTTTATATACAAACAATAAATTGGTATTTTCCCAACCTCTGAGCAGACAAGGTTGTTTCCCCCCTGTGCTCTATGGTGCTGCAGGTTGGGGATCTCTGCTCTACTTGAATCAAAGGCCAAATAAAAAAAGATTAGCCTTATGCGGAGATTGGAACATTTATAATTGACAGTGCAGTGAATRTATGGAGAGTTACGCTTTTCCATAAATTTAGGGCAGCTATTGCAAAAACCCAATCACCTTTTTGCTTTAAWCTGGAAGTCAGAACACCTGCATAGAAAAACTTGACTGGTTCACAATAACACCATCAAAGTTATATAGTTACAGGATCAGAATAAAGTGATCTGAGTTATAAAACTGGTAAAAACAAATTCACTGTTGATTTAGTTTTTACACTTCTGACCTATGAGAGGCCTTATGGGACATTTTAACCAAAGGACAGTAAAAGGGTTAAACCCTGCAGCAAGGTAGTAGTAGGCATACACAAAATAGCTGGTTACAATGTGGTTYCTCTAAAACCTATTATACTGAGTTAACATGGATCCACCTAACATGAAGTTTAAAACATATTTTTAGCTTTTTTTAAACAGTATTTTTTC